ACTTTCACTGGCGCTCTGAGACCATGTTTTGTAAGTTTTCATGCCGACAGGACCACCCGACATTGTTGTATTCAATTATTAAAAACATAGCATAAATGTCCAACAATTAGTTTAAAAAATGTATTGCTTATTGTAAAAAAAAAAAATGTGAAATGGGAATTCTGGGAGTAGTTTATGTCAATAGATCCAGTGATTTTTTAAATAAAATTATCATGATGTAACTCTGCAAAGTCTCTGTGGTGTTGAGGTAATCGCAGTGTCCCAGTTTGAAGTTAGTTTCACGGTTTACTGCAAGGTAGAGCAGATAGTGTGGATATTGCAGGGCTGTTCGGCCCTTTGAAACCCCTTGAGAAGCTGGGAGAATGTTTGTAAAGCATTCAGAGACTTCGGTCAATCAGCCCTGAGTGCAAACACTGAATTCTAACGGCTAGCTGTCACCTGCAGCCGTGTCGCCCGTCCTCGTCTGTAATGTCCTCCTTTGCTGACGGTGGGTTGACAGCGTAACGCGAGAGGACCTCCTTAGCGGTTCTGAGGGTCGCAGGGAGAGCCTGGCTGCCGGGTTCTGTGCCCGGGCCGCTCTTCTCGTTACAGGAAAAAATGGGAACCTAGAAAAATAAAGTGTGATCCTTTAGGTAAGGATCCAGGCAACATGCAGAGTAAAAACACCCATATTAAAAGAGGAAAAAAAGTGTACACTCTTCTTTTTTTGGCAGATGTCTGTGAGGCTCTTTTTATTGGTACGGCCTTAGTTTTCTGAATCTGTAAAGTTCAGCCTCGGTTCCCATGCGTTCCTGCGGCTTTTGAATCACGTCCAGGTTAATAACTCGCACTGCCTTTAAGGGACCCTCAGGAGGTGGGCTCACTGTGTTTTTCACTTAAGAGAAATAATGGATATGATCTGCCTGCCTATAAAGGAATATACCCAAGAATCAATCTTCAGTCTTTCATAGTTTTTTCTTTTTCTTTTTCAAATTATTTTGTAGACGCTTTTATCCAAAGCAAAGTACATTTGAGAAAGCGGGGTCATCCAGTCCCAGGAGCAGTTAGGGGTTTAGGGTCTTACTCAAGGGCCCAGCAGAGAAGTGGCTGCTCTGCCAACCCTGGGATTTGAACCAGCGACCTTCTGATCACAGGCACTGCATCCATCATTGGTCTGGATCTTCCTGGGGTGATTAATGGATGGCTGCTTCTGTCTGGTACTGATGCTAGACAGGGCAAGCAAGAGAGAAACGGAGAGAGAGAGGGATAGAGGGAGAGAGGGATAGAGACAGAGGGAGGATAGAGACAGAGGGAGAGAGGGATAGGGCAGCCTGGCTGACACTGAGGAGGTCTGGAGCAGTACTGCAATGCAGCAACATTCACAGGCACCGGTGTCACGGCTTTTGATAATGCCCCCCCGCCCCACCAGCTGTGGTTATTTATAGACCTGGAGGGGGGGGCACAGGGACAGAGCACTGTGTCTTGTGACTGGGGTTAAAACCCAGGTTTTGGGCTGTGGGGTCTATCAGGGTGATTGCTGAGGAGGCTCTGGCCTGCGTGCTCCTGCGGCTCGACGTGTCGCGGCGTCGGGCGTCGCTGAAGCCATCGCTGTCACTGACGACGGCGGCTTGCGGGTGGGTGGGTGCTTGGGTGGGTGGGTCGGTCGGTCGGTCGGTCGGTCGGTCGGTCGGTCGGTCCTTCCACGCGAAGGAGGGAGGGGTCTTGTTTGTTTGCTCTTTCTGAAAAGTGGCGCGGCGGGAAGCGGCCCCCGGCCTCGTCTCCACGCAACGCTCATAAAACCGTAAAAGACCGAGGCGAGGCGCACATCTGCAGGGGCTGCATCTGTCTCCATGGCAACGAGCCGTCAGCCGTAAGCGGTAACAAGCTCTTCTTCCTACCGCCTCGTCGGCCGTGGCTAGAGCGTCGCCGGGGGGGGGGGCGTGTGGGTTGGCACAATTAAAAACATATTTCTCTGCTGTCTGTTCAGAGTTCCACGGAGGCCTGAATTATTGCACTATAGAAATATTTGCTTATTAAAGCGGACGGGAGGGGGGAGTCATTAGCTACCTGTGGTTATATTTTTTCTTTTTTTATTGTCATGGTTGCTGGCTAGGAATAAACGAGGCCCCTGGGCTGTCCTGCATCCTGCCCGTCTGGGCCTGTCACTGACTCGGGGGGGCTCTGGGCGCTGCGCAGCCTGGCCGCATTCCTCGTTACCCGGTTGCTTAGCAAACGCTTGTGTCCAGTCCTTTGTAGCGTGTTTGTCGTTCCTGCTGCTCTTTTAATGACCCTCTTTAGGATGCTTCTTACTCCAAGCTTCTGCTTCGGAGACTCCGGGGGGGGGGGTGCCCAAATCTCGTGGCAAGTGCCGTTGTCATGATGTCATCAGTTGGCACCTCGGGGCTGGCCCCGGAGGCCCCCGTCCGCCTCGCCGACAGCTGCCCCGGCGCCCCTCCATCACTGAATGAGGTGCTTGTTTTCGCGCCGAGGAAGGAGCCGTTTGACTTGCCCCCGACTGACTCTTCCTGCTTTCGCCCCTCGGATAAATGGCTCCTCTTCATCCTCAGCTTTGGCCCCACGGTCGACCTCGCTTCTGCGCGCGAAGATGCAGGATAGGATACGCCGATAAAAAAAAAAGAAAAACGACAAGAAGCGAAACTTAGAAACGGTAACCCAGTCCTCCATGTGCCAGTCGCTCAGTTCAGAACATGATGCTCCCGGCCCTGAAACCCACGATGTCCGCCCTTGGGCAAACAATCCAGGCCTGGTCTCGGACCCGGGAGCAGAGTGAAAAGGAGCCCCCCTGCAGGGGGTGGGGATGTAACTCAAGGCCGCGGCTCTGAAAGGCAGGGGTGCGGCCCGTGCTCAGTGTTGGGTGACGGCCCCGGCCTTGCTCTCCCGTTACCCGGTTACCGAAGGACGCCATGACAACAGTAGCACAACCTTGACCCAGTGGAAAATTCTGCCCAGTTTGTGGGGGGGGGCAGAAGAAAGATGGATAGGAGAGAAATTAATAAACTAGGAGCTTGTTCTGGGGCTCTGAGGTGTGTAACTGCGGGAGAATGGGGCCGGTGCTCTTTATGTGGTATGGTGTTTCACCAGTAGCATGTGACACCCCCCCCCACGAGTTTTTTAAAAATGCAAAGCTCTTTTATTTAACAGAGACGGGTCAGACATCATTATCGCGTGGAAAAGACTCGCGGCTTACCAGAGGCATTGTTTGGGGCTAACCTGAGAGGGGGCCAGGCTGTAATGACCCCCCCCCCCATCCTCAAAGAGTCCTAGCGAGGAGCTAATGTGTTAAGGACATGCATGGGGGGGGGGGTAGTTGATCATATTTCATATAGTCCACACATCCTTCGGAGTTGAGTTTTGAGATGGTGGGGGGCAAATGCAAAATGGAGAATCCTTTGGGGGGGGGGGAGTGTCACATGTCACTGTTTTTTTTTTTTTTTTTTTTCTCCTGTGACCCTCTGTGACCCCTAGTCTGGTTACATTTGGCCCCATAAGACCTTATGCTCCTTAGGTCGGTGTTTCCCAGTCCGGTCCATGTGGACTGTCTGTGGGTCCAACGACGACTGCATTGGGAAACGCTGCTTTAGGTTGTTACCGATATTCCCTTTATAATAAAACAGTATAAGCACTATCTATGTACCTAAAGGAGAGACCCCATCCCTATGGCGAGTTAGTTGGTTGAATAGTTTGTTCATTAGCTCCCTCTGTTTGGAAGTGGTATGGTCCAGTGCCATACCAATACAATTACTGTCCTGACTCCCTTCACAAGCTTCCATGGCCTCACTTATTCATGGGGGGGGGGGGTGCAAAAAACTTCTTGCCCGGTTTTTTGGCACAGAGGACCAACTCTGGCTTGGTGAAATGACACCCCACCCCCCCACCACTGCCCCCACCACCCTCCCTCCTCCCTATCAAGCAACTGAAACCTGCAGCACAAAAGGCGTTTGTCATTCTGGGATGACATTACATGTCACTTCCTGTGGGGACAGGCTATTCATCCCCCGGGTGAAGCGGCGTTCGTCCCAGACACGGACACAGCAAGTGTTTCACACTCCCCCCCCCCCCCCCCCCCCCACCCCTGTCCACCACCCCTGCTGACAAAAAAAATTAAATAAAGGAAAAACAAAGCGGCAGAGTGCTGAGCCTCCTTCTCCCCATAAGGAGCGGGGCCCCTCCTCTAGGAGCCCCACGCCGACCCCCCTGCATCTCAAGTGACCCCCCTGCCAGCCCGCTTTTCTTCTCAGCTTGTGATGTAAACATGCATGTTTAGAGAGAGCGCGGTAATAAGGAGTCGTGTAAGGGGGGGGGTTAATGGGGAGAGTGTACCTGGATGGGAGCCTTGTTGGGGGGGCGGGTTGGGTCTGTGACGCTGGATGGAGGCCTTGCTTTCTGTTCTCATGGAGCTCGGTCATCTTTATGGAGGTGTGTTAGGAATCATCCCATCCGTCCTGGCCCCACTCCCCTGTCAGAGAATGAGGTCATCAGCTGTGTTTGAATCCCCCCTCCCCCCCGGCGTCTTTACCTCCGCACTCCCCTGCCAAACAGGACGTGTGTGTTTGTTAAAACTAGTGGTATTATGGGAAAATGCCACAAGTACAGCCCTTTCTCCAGAGTGGTCCGAATCCCGCTGTTTGTTACCATTTAAGGTGTGATATTCCCATACACGGGCAGTCAAGCTGCCGTTAATTGCTTTGTTCTTGCAGTGTTATGTTTATAATGAATATATTTCCCATCAGGCCTTGCTCTGTTGGGAATTTCATTTAATTGTCAACCCACCCCCAAAATTCGATGAGTGTTGTATAGTTTGGGTGTTTGTGACTTAAAAAAAAATATCCGCAGAAAAGAAAAATGCTGGAAAATGAAAGATGTGGGCATTTCCTCACAGTGGAACACCCGCCCTTGGTTTTGTCTGATGTTGGGGGTCATTATTTGTCACCTTTAGGTGACAATATGCGAATCACAAGTGTGGCCTTGTGGGTAACCATGCCGTCTGGCCTCTCTTTCAGGTGGCACCCGTGACATAGGCTCCGCCCTCACCAGGATGTGCATGCGGCACCGGGGCATCGAAGGAAAGCTGCGGCAGTTCTCCATGTAATGCCTCCATCTGTCATCTGGGACGATCCATCTTAAAGGCGGGGGTGGGGGGGGTTACTTAAGGGAAGCCGTCCAACCCGCTGCAGTAGCCCTTGACGCCAGCTCCACCGCCCCGCCGCTGGGAGTTAAGCCTCTAATTTCGAGGGGCGATCTGGAGGAAAACATTCCTCTCGAGCCATGCAGTAAATCAGCAGCCTGCGCGCCTGGGCCGTCTCTGCCTGGAAAAGGCCTGTGTGGCCCTTGCGCTAATTTTAGACACGTACAGCTGTGTCGTCTCCGAAGTGAAGCACGTTTCACAGAGAGGCTCTGTCACGTGTCAGACTCCGGCAGACACTGAGCTTTAATCTGACCACTTGTTTCTTTTCTTTTTTTTTTTAATTAAGTAATTTTATTACTTTTTTTTATTTCCTATTTTTTCATTTTCTCCTCCCCTGTAGGGTGTTTTTGGACTGCCTGATAAATCCTCTACAGGACCAAATTGAGGAATGGAAGAAGGGGGCAAACGCGCTGGACAAAGACCACGCCAAAGGTCGGCCCCTGCTGGCATGGAGGTCTCATTACCTCTGTGTCCCCCCTCCCCGCCCCTTGTCTTGCTCTGCTCTACTTTCATACTGGCCAAGTTTGCCTCCCCCCCCCCCCCCCCATACAAACAAACACACAAAAAAAAGATCTCAATACGCATCTCAAAGAATGTTAACACATTTCATGAATATTTAGAGAAGAGTAAGAAGTCAAAGTACAGAATTGAGACAGTGGTCCATTTGGAGTGGGGGCTCCACAGAGGATTTAGGAGGTGATGAGCGATTCCTAAGGCCTGACGTATTAGAAGGGGATTAGTTTAGGGTCTAGGGGAAAAAAAACGCTCCTGTCGGCCATGCCAAGGGCGCCCCCCCCCCATGGGTGCCTTCGGCAGGTCGGAGAGCTCGCATCATCTTACCGTCTGTCTAATGCAGAGTACAAGAAAGCCCGGCAGGAAATCAAGAAGAAGTCGTCCGACACCCTGAAGCTACAGAAGAAGGCCAAGAAAGGTAAGCTGCCCCCCCCCCCCCCCCCCCCACGCGGGGCGGCAGTCCCGCTCCGTCGCACGCCCCGCGATATGTTGTGTACACTCAGGCTTTGCCCCGGATCTGTAATCGCCAGCACAGCAGGACCTTTCATATCAGCTCCAGAACAAAAATGGCGTGACTACTGCTCCGTCGCCAGCAGGGAAAACCGTGATGAATTCCGTTTGCTGTCAGTGGTACAGATCTTAAGACTTTATAAACGCAACTCAGACTCTGAAACGTCACTCCACTGTCCACTTTCCACACTGGCATCTCATAAACCTGCCCCCACATATGAAATTTCTTGTCTCTGTCCTGTTGTACGCAAGTCATTATTTTAGAAAGAATATTTAATAACGGCTCTATTAATTAGGACAGGGGTCCTTGCCTACCCAGGCTGACTCGTTACGTGTAAGCAGAGGTGCTCCTGAAGGTGACCTGTCGAGGCTCTTAGGCGCATTTCTGCTGTAATAAATGGGAGGGAGTGATTTGTTGCTTTTATTATTTTTTAATTGCATGTTACTCCCATTGAGGTGTGTAGCGCTTTGCTCCTCATGCTCTCAGAGGCTTCCACGAAGACAGCAGTGATGAACTGCATTTTCTTTGTGTACTTCATTCCCTTGGGGGTAAAAACAATGAATTGTATTGTCCTCCAGAATGGGCGTGGGGGGGGGGGGTGTCTTCCCAGTTTCTCCGTATTTTTGTCAGAATCATCGGTAACATGTTCCTGAATTCTTGTACCCCCTTTGGACCGTGAGGGGTGTTTAGTGTATTAAATATCAGTGAAGCCTCCCCAGGCATGATCCCGTTGCATAGTCTGCTTGTTTATGTGGAGGGGGGCGTATTTATGTCTGACTACTTGTCGCCTCTCTAAAAGCATTCAGGTTGTTTGTAAGGTCAGGGGAATTCCTGATGCGTACCAGACGACCCCCCCCCCCCCCACACTGTTTCAGGGCCCTAACCGCCATGTTCTCTTCATCTCTCTCTTCCTTATCCCATCCTGTTCCCTTCTTGCCAGCTGATGCTCTGGGTAAGTCTCCCTCTCTCTCTCTCTCTCTCTCTCGCTCTCTCTCTCTCTCTCTCTCTGTCTATCTGCACCCTCTTCCTTCTCTTCAGTCCCCGTTCATCCATCTGTGGTCCAGGGGTCACCTTCCTCTTCCTCCACCATCGCGGTTTGTTTTGTATTTGCCTCATGCTCCGAGTCCGGTGACCTCCGGAAATGGAGCCAAAATTGCACAATTAAGAAGAAAAATCTATTTTTATAACTTGTATTTTAAAATCCCTTCTCCGCCTGTGTCCTACACTAGCAGGGCACGGCGCCGCCTTCTGGCAGTGTTTAAATTTTACACCCCCCGTGCTTTCGGTGGTGATGCTATTTCTGTAACGACAGGGGGTGGGAGTGTCAGTAAAAGAATCATGACATTCATTAACAGTTATTACCCAATTTAGGCCTTTGCTGGATCTCGCCACATCGGGGACCCTCTGTCTCAAAGACTCATTCCTTATAATGTGTTGTTTCTTAATTTTATAAGCACAGGGTTGCATTTATTGCTGATTAAATATTTTGGCTGTTCTGTGGGTGTACACAATCCTCTCCGACCGGCTCGCGATGAACTATTTGCTTTATGCAAATCAGTCAGAGGCAAATGAAAACGGTCTTGACTGTATCGCTGTACCGAACCCGACCCCCACCCCCCCATCCCAACCTGCGCAGCCTGCCGGGATTTCGAGACTGTTTTGTTTCCAAGACCGGGCGCGCATTTTGCTATCAAATGCATGGCTTAGATTTTTGCTTGAGAATCCCAGGTAGGGAGTCCTTTGGAGGGTGAGAGAGTCCCGGTGGGCGGGGCACGTGTTTTCAGGACCTTTTACCCCGTCATGCGAGCAAAGAGAGCGGCATGGAGGTGGTCGTGTGACGTAAAGGAGCGCCTGGTGGATTTCCGCGGAAACTAAGAGCGCGGTCACGGTGCAGTGTGAACCACGGCTTCCCGCTCGCTTGCTCTCGCTGCTTTCCGCTGATTAAAAGCTGCCTGCTGCCCTATTTTCATCTTGTGAAGGGCACAGCTTAATCGCTCCGATTTCTAGAGCGGCGATCTGTGCTTCCTGACCTATATCTGCGAGGCACATGCACGCTGGGGCGGTGGTAAGTCCGCGTGAGCTCCGCCAAAGACACCATGGTCCTGACAGGTGGACGAGCGAGTCTTTTCTGACGCTCGCATTCCTGTCGTCCCGGTGACGGTTTACGTCAATCCTGGATTTAATGGGGTTTCTCAAGCAAAGCTCCCCAGTCTCATTGATGCTTGTTGACCTCTGTTAACCTGACTTCAGTGCCGTCTTCCCCCCACCCCCCCCAAAAAAAAAAAATTCACGTCTATAAACTCTGGCACTGTGTTCTGTGTCGTCTTGTGCAGTATTTCGGGAAATACTAAGTGGTTTGATTTTTCATTTTCTTTTCCCCTGCTGTGTCACAGGACGCCTTGTTGGGGGGGGGGGGGTAAGGTTCGGGTGCAAGTACACAGCTCCGCATCCCACCCAGCCCCCTGACGAGGTCATAGCAGAGGCTTCCCACCCAGCTGTCTTTGTACGGTGTTGTCTTGCCAAACATGAGGCCTTAATCTGTCTTGTTCCTTCTGGCATGCCATGGGCAGTCGTCGTCTTAAGAACTTCTGGTGAGGGGAGGGGGTTGTGCTTTTCTCACGTCGGATTATGATTCTTAACCATAAAGGTTACAAAATGTGTAAGAAATAAAACAATTAGGCCTGCTCTTGTGTGGGCTGATTGATACATTTTATATGCTTTATTAATACTTAACAAGTAGTTATAATTAAGATACAGATCAAGAATTCTGTAAAATTCTATTTTTAAAAATAGAAAATCAAGTCAAATATGCCTTATTGCTGTGTAGATGGGAACAGTATGAAAATGGTTATGCATATTTGACACAAGGAACAATTTAATGGGACCAAAAGCTGGTCCATGAGGAACCTTGTAAGATAACTGAGCTAAGCGACTGTCCTGTGCATAATCACTCAGTGCCTGAGCGCTATAGAGGGAATACAGCCTGTCATTTGGGGGGGGGCAAACTCCAGTATTTGGGATGATGTGTTATAGAGGATGTGCAAAATGATCGGTCTGCTGAGGAAGAGTGGAGTGGGTGTGTCACTGCTGGATGGAGCCCCCTCCCCCCCCCCACAACCATTTTCTGACCCTGAGTTTGCTTCCTGAAAAGCTGAAAACCTGAACATTTAGCAAGGACAAAAAAAAATTCTTCTTTCTTGACTTGAAATCATTTGTGAAAATCTATGCCGAATGTATATCACTCTATCATTCATTCTTCAGTCAGCTTCCGGTTCCTGTCATTTTCAGAAACCGCAGATGGGAGATGACTGCAGTCCAAAAATAATCACATTCAGATGGTGCATCATCGATACCAAATTGGCAGCGTTTGTGATTCACAAAATATGAATATCTGCTTATTTTGCTAATGCCTTCTGCTGTGCTAGGAACCACACTGCTCTGACTTGGCCGTGTTCAGTGACGCGTGCTCATACACGTGCCCCGATTCTGCCGAACATCCTGCTCTTATTGTTCTGAGCGAGCAGTATCGGGTCACATTTCCAGTCCTGTCAGGAAGTGGGCTGCCTCTCTACAGCCCAGGCTTCAGCCAGTGGGGAACCTGCCGTAACCGGAACCGTGTGCCAGGTCCCCATTCACTGGCAGTGGACAGTGGAGGGAACAGTGCAAGGATAGGGAGGACAGGTCTTTCACCACCTGGCCAGTAGGGGGAGCTATGAGGAAAAGACGTCTTTTGTGGGGTCTTGTTACAGCCCACAGTTATGGCATTTCTGGTTAGTTTTAGCTAGCATAACTTTATTTTTATAGCATGGAAGTATGGTGTAGGTTTCAGGGGAGGCTACAGGAGACCACTAGTGACCATGCCCCCACCTGTTTCAGGGAGGGGTGACATACAGCCCCAGCTCAATTGCGCCATGCAAGATGTCAATGATAAATACCTGCTGCTGGAGGAGACTGAGAAGCAGGCAGTGAGGAAGGCACTGATCGAGGAGCGTGGCCGCTTCTGCACCTTCGTGTCCATGCTGCGGCCTGTCGTGGTGAGCTTCTCCCCGCCCTGTGTGTATATGCCGCCCCCTGCTGGTCAGGTTATTGCCGCAATAACAGCCATATCTCTTCCCGGCTGCTAGGATGAGGAGATCGGCATGCTGAGTGAAATCACACACCTGCAGGCCATCGCTGACGACCTGAAAGCCCTCACCATGGACCCCCACAAGCTACCCCCAGCTAGTGAGCAGGTCAGTGCTCACTAAACCAGGATCCGAGGGGACCAGCTCTGTGGTTTTGGGTGCCACCCCCGCCTTCCTGAGTGCCATCAGCTCAGCAGCTCTGCCATCAACTGCCAAGACCCCCCCCCCCCCCCCCCCTCCCACCGAAAACTGAAAAACCACCACAAAAAAACACTGACAGCTTCCAGGAAAGGGGTTGGTCATACCCCACTAATACGGTTAGGACCCCTCGCTGTGTTTATAGCTTGGCTGTTCCCATTACGGCAAACGCCGTCTGTGTTTTCGCTCCCGGTCAGTGGGGAGATTCAAAGGGGGGGGGGGGGTGGTCACTGAGTCTTGTTTCCCACGGTGCTGCAGCTTCGGCTACCTCCTGCACCTCCAACTGAAGCTAGCTGTAAGCCCATGGGAAGGCAGTTCCGTGTCAGACAGCAATTTGCATTCTGCTTGGTTTCCAGCATTACGACATTATTGCCAGGGGGCTGGAAAGATGTGTTTGGGTCTTTCAGTCATAGGGGTGTCCGGTTTCCCCCCCCCCTGGAGGGATTGCGGGGCCATTCAGGTGCGTGGGCAGCTCTCCGAAGGCTCACAGTCCATAACCTGCCTGATTGTTCTTTTTGCCTCCCAGGTCATTCTTGATCTCAAAGGCTCAGACTACAACTGGAGTTACCAAACGCCTCCCTCTTCTCCCAGCACCACTATGTCCAGAAAGTCCAGCATGTGCAGGTAGGTGCAGGCGCGGCTGCGGGGGTCTCACTGCAGGAAGCGCTCTTGCACAGACCTGCCTGGTGATGGGAGAAAATATGGCTTGAAAACCCAGTATGGGTGGGATTATCATCCCATCATCAGTCACAATCACCATATGGAATGCCATTAAGGCAGTGATTGACAGATTTGGTAATTCCACACACTGTCTATTTCTTACACTCATCATTAGCTGTAGTCTGCCACCCAGTGGCACATACTGTGAACTGCAGTTGAGTAAATATTGTTTTCATGTTTGATACTTCCACGAAGTTTTGCTATGCACTCATAAAAGCCAGGTGCATTTCAGAGGTGAACTGGTTAGTCAACAGTAATTTAGGAGATGTAAAGAAATCGGATCTATGAAGCACTTTAAACATGGCATAGAAACCTTTTTAAAGTATGTAAAGAATTAGATGCAGCCTTTACTTATTGTCTAATACTTTCAGCCTAATATTGACAGGACTGAATCTGAAACGCTTGGTTTTGGTGTCCGAATGGGTTGAGATATGTAAACCAGACCTTAACATACTGCATAGCCCCCTCACCTCCTGTGTGACGGTCCCAGCAACTGTTATCTATATTTTAGTCACTTGTGGTCCCACCCCCCACCTTCCACGCGGGGCTGTCGGTGCTGCGCTTAAATCGCTTGTAGCTGTACCGAGCATGATGGATGCGCCGCTTGTCGATGCTTTTACGCTTCCCCCATTGAACAGTTTTTGTTTTATTTTATCATTATTTTAAAATCATATTTCCGTCCTTCCCCTCGCCATTTGAATGTGGTATCGCCTGTTAATTTAAATTCATCGTACAGACTTTGGTTTCTGTCGGGTAACCCGTATCCAAATAGGAAGACTCATTCCTATTTTAATAAGAGACACTGGCGGAAAGTACCGCTTGCGGTCGGGGTACCGGAGTGGGGAGGTCGGCTGCCGGTCGCTGCGCAGCCGGGCCCCTACCCGGTGAGGAATGCGGGGGAGCGGGAGGGAGGGACCCCCAGACCGAAACATCAGCAGCTTCTCTGGCTCGCCTGCTCTCTTCACGCTTAACTGTTGGCAGGAGCCGCGCTATTTCGCAGTAACGCTGGCCAGGGATCAGGATTAACCCCCGCATTACAGCGTCTAACTCGGCGTTTCGTTACACAAAGTGTCTTAAAAGTTGTCATTGATGATTTCAAATAGCTATTGATTGTTGCATGTTGTTTAGATATATCGTGTAACCAGTAAAATGAAATATCTGTCTTAACTCCAGTTTTACAGGTTAACATTATTTTGATACTTTACGTCTAAAAACAACACTGTGAAGTGTTATAATTTATATACTAAAATAACGCACTTGGGTTTAGAGGTTTTAAGTGCTGCTTTTAAAGGGATATTTTACCCTTTAAACGTCATGCTTGCTTTTTCATTATTTCTGATTTTGGATGCTATGCGGGGTGTTAACGGTCCCTGGTCTCCCGCTCTCTCCCTGCCTGTCCCCGCCCCCTGCCCCGCCCACCCTTGTCTCCGCCCCCTGTCCCGCCCACCCCTGTCTCTAACAGCAGTCTGAACAGCGTAAACAGCAGCGACTCGCGCTCCAGCGGCTCTCACTCTCACTCACCCTCCTCGCACTATCGCTACCGCAGTTCCACCCTGCCCCAGCAGGCCCCCGGCCGCCTCTCCAGCATCTCCTCCCATGACTCGGGCTTCATGTCCCAGGATGCCTTTCAGTCCAAGTCACCCTCGCCCATGCCCCCCGAGAGCACCCTGCAGGTGAGCCGAACACTGTACACATGGACTGGGGTGGGGGTTTTTAAATAATTAATGCACAGAGGGCTGGGTTGGATATCTGTGGTGATTAATGTCTATATATTAATTGTCTATAATTTAATTGTCATATGCAAAATATAAGCCTCTACATATTACTGTAGATTCACTCATACTTTTCAAATTATAAACTATGTATAAGAGTCATTCTATAATTTGGGGTTAATTCCATGTCCATTGATGACAAATGAGATTTTTAGATAAATTTATTCTGACGATTTTCTTCAACAATATTATATTTTGCCTCTTTATGGAACGAATATTGTAATATCACACAAACACTATGTGGATCATAGCTTGAAATTTGTCATGATGCTCCTGAAATGAAGTTTTTCCGTTGTCCATTTTTGAGTTCTGGGCATCTTGAAACCAAGACAATGACTAAATTTCAAAAAGTCTAAATACTAAAGAAAAATTTTATTTTAAAAATTGATTTCATTTAAATTGTATAAATATCTTAATTTATAATATTTATTTTATCTTTATGTCCGCAAAGGTTCTGTCAGCTGTTACTAACAGAACTCCCCGCTGTAACTCAAAAATGATTTGTCCCAGTGCCATGTAATCAGCATCACTTAATAATAATAATAATAATAATAATGTTTTATTTATATAGGGCCTTTCTCACACGCAAGGATGATTTACAATACAGACAGATACTTTATTGTATTGTAACAGCAAAACAACTACAATGAGAACGTTACTCATTCCTGAAATAAATGAGTTTTCTTTTGGCCCTTGAAGATGTTAACAGACTTTACCACCCGCAGACTGAGGAAGTGCATTGCAGAGTGTAGGCGCTGTCACGCAGAATGCCCTGTCACCCATAGAGGATAATCTGTATTTAGGTACAGTAAGAAGGTTAGATGTCATTTTGCTCTCTGCTGGACATTTTGAACAGACATCCTCATTTTTTTCAATATTTCATCTATAATAGCACATTGTCAATGAGTATATTAATTGACTGTCAACTATGTTACATTGTTATGGTTTACAATATTGTAATTATTTTAATGAAATATGAATGAAATATGAATGAAATTTAATGAAATTTTCATGTTTAAATTTGATATTAAGCTTCAAGAAAACGACCTGCTCTGCCAGGCAAGGCCTACCATTGAAATTATGGGTCAAAATAATAATGATACATTTTAAAATAGGGAAATTGTCAACTGTGCTATCTGTCAGCTAAGCTACCCAGTAGTCTACATCACCAGCCATCAGTACCGTTATCAATCTACATGGCACAACATTCATATGGGCACACTTTCCTGTTCTCCCTCAACATATTTTTTAAAAATCCAATTGTTTTAAATAATGTCAGCAGTTGAGAAATGGCAGAGACAGGGGGCTCATTGGGACGCTGATCGTGCAAAAAGGGCAGCATATTTGGAGAAGCGTAGAGAGGATTTCATAAACTTAGGTCTTAATACCCTGAGCAAGGTACCACCCCCAAGCACTGCCCCCCGGGCGCTGAATTAGCTGCCCCCTGATATGTCACGACGTCACATATGAGTTAAATGCAGAGGACACATTTCGTTGTTGTGTGCTGTGGTGTGTCAACAGTGACCACTGATCTCTAAATTCTAAAATTCTAAGGGAGGATGAACTGTGGCAGTGAGGGTAAGAAAAAAAAGCAAGAGTGTCTATTGGAGGAAAGCACAGCGGAGAGGCGGGAAAAAGTGCAGGCTTGGCCATTCAGCTACACCAGCAGACAGTCCAGAGAGCCAATCGTCCATCAGCCTCAGGAAAGAAGGTAGAGATTCATGATAGCAAGACAGAAACAGGTTAATGTATTCAACAGGAAAATTGTGTGACACAGAAGGTTTCCATTCATATATATACACAGTATATGATCTGTGAATTTAATTTCTTTTGTTGCACCTAATTTTTTTTCAAATTTAAAATAGCTAAAATGGTTATTCTGATGTCCTTTAAAGTAAACTGTGTATCTACTTAGGTTGCTTTCTGCATGTCTCTTAAAACTATCAAAATTACCAGTATGGTAGTTTTATTATAAAAAATATTCCTGTCCTTAACAGTGGTGAACATATCACATGTATATCTGGAGGATACATTTCAAACATCATTGTGTGTAAAGCAAAATAGACTCAAGAGCCCTTAAAATTGTATTGTACTTGAAGTGCAGGATTCAGTCAAATGGCTGGAATGGCATCCACTTTGTCCATGACATAGATGACAAATTGAGTAGTGAAAACATCCTTTCCCTTGAAGAATAAAAAAATTAAGCTTTGCAATTAGCAGATGTGTTGCACTGAAGGACTCCACTAATTTGAAACACTGATCGTTCTTTTGAGAAAGAACATTGTTTTTGTACTTGATGAGAAATGTACCCCAAATTATAGAATGACTCAATCTGGCCACATCCACCAGGAAGGTTCCTAATGATGGTGTCCAACCATCTTGTAAGGCGACACATTAAATGGGTGTGACACATCTACCCGGCATTCCTACATTGGGGGGGTGGCGGGTTGGTTTTCTACAGAACCCCAAGCTCTGCAGGATAGTGGCCTCCCTGCGGTCGACCGTAGCCTTGGCGTTCGAAAGCTGACCACATTTAAATAGCAGATATCGTTTTACAGCCGTGCACAAATTCAGAAACATTCCCCAAGGCTTGTGAGGTCATCCTGGGTTTATGGGGGGGGGGGGGGTTCCGCTGCGGTCTCAGAGTCTTCCTGCCCCAGCCACTTTGCTTCCACACAGAATCCATGCTGTTTTATTGCATCCACTCCCTGGTAATTCTTCCCTGGCTACATCTCGGCTCTCTATCTAAACGCACACTTCTCCGGCTCCCTAACGAGGCTCCCTAACGAGGCTCAGCTTTGAAACCTGCTTAAGCCTTATCGCCGACTGCTCAGTTTTCCCCGCAGGCTTTCATAAGTCACTTCTAGACTCTTCCTAATGGCTTAATTTGCAATCTTTTCACTCCTCTGCCCCCCCACCCCATGTGTGCCTGTGTGTGCGTGGGTTCATAACGACGCCCTCCCTAACATCTCTCCCCATCCTCACTAACTCGCCCTGTGCGTGTCCCCATGGCGATGTGTGCGTCCCCATGGCGATGTGTGCGTCCCCATGGCGATGTGTGCGTCCCCATGGCGATGTGTGCGTGTGCGCCCTCTGGCTGTGACACCCTGCAGACTTCCTCCAGCTCTCCTTCCTCGGACGCCTCTGAGACCTGCCAGTCGGTCAGCGAGTGCAGCTCCCCCACCTCCATCAGCTCGGGCTCCACCATGGGCGGGGCCCTGGCCTCAGCCGAAAAGGTGAATTGCCCCCCCCCCCCCATCCCACCCCAGAGCTCCGCAGTGCCCCTCGAGGAACCACAGAAGGTCACACGTTATACACGGTGCACAAAGGAATACGCTGATCATCCTACAAACCACAAGCGAGCGCCGGGTGCGGGGGGAGGGGGTCCATCATCAGTGTTCATTCTCATTCTTGAGTTCTGTTGGTTTTGTTCCACCTTAATACAGTATTAGTTATTTTTATGTTTTGCTATGTATATGATTTCTCCATTCTCTTGTGTTTATTTATTTACATTTTTTTCCCATCCCACATTGTAGTTGTCAAATGGGTATGATCACCACTCACTCAGTGAAGCCCCCTACCTGGCCGGAGTGGGGTTGGGGGGCACCTTCCCATACTTCCCAGCCCACTCTTCCTCAGTCCCCCACGCTCAGGCCGCCTCCACCCGCTCGTGGTCCCGGCCCAGCTCCGCCCTGCTCCCGGACTACCCCCACTATTGCACCATGGCCTCGGGCATGATCCCCTCCTCCAAAATCCCCGCCTGGAAGGTTTGTCTGCTCAGCCTCCACATCCTCCTCTGTCCCTCTCGGACCTCCACACAAAGGCTTCCTAAACACCTCTTTCTGAGTCTCTCTGCCTCTGATCGGTGAGCCTCTATCAGATGTCCGAGGCTCCCTTACGCGCATTTCCCCCCGTCTTCCTTCCCTTCCTCTCCCTCACTGTACAGTTGGGCCCCTATTCCTGTGTTCTCCGGCTTCTTAAGATCCCATGTGCGCATGAAGTCGCACACGCTGGCTTCGCCGCATTAATGCGTGCGGCTCAATTAATTGCAGCTGAATTGCGAAGACGCCGAGGCTCCCCAGGGAGCTTTTATGAGTCTGGAAGGGCAGGAAATTCGTTTTTATTATCCTTGTCTAGTGCATTCAGCGACAAGAAAAGTGTCTTTCAAGCTGAATCAGAGGGTATAATGCAGTGTAGCCGTTTGCAACACAAAGTCTTTAGTCCTGGAGATTTTGTAACAATTAAGAGTTCAATGTTTGAGGTTAATAGGGCAGGTGTAGACTGCAGTAGTATAGTGAGTATTTATTGTGGTATTGCTTAATGTATTGTAGGGCAGGTGTAGCGTGTACTGCTAGGCTTGAGTATAGTAGTATAGCGAGAGTATTTCTGGTAGCATTGCTTCCTCGCTAAGCACTCCCCGTCTCAGGCTTACTCTCTCTTGGCACTTCTGCAGGACTGGGCCAAACCGGGCCCTTACGACCAGCCCATGGTAAACACCCTGAGGAGGAACAAGGAGAAGCGGGATGTCGGCGAGCCCGGTGCCACGGGGGGCCCAGCCCACTCGGAGGACCCCCAGAAGGCCAGGAGTGTGGCTGCGCCCACCACACCCAAGGTAATGCGGAGACCGTTTGACCTTGATCGGGTGTCTAATCAGAGTATAGCAAATAAAACAAGTTTAGCTAGCCCTATACCTTTATGGGTGTTTAAGAGAGTGTTCCTCACATCCCCATGGCTGGTTGTTGGTATCATCTCCCATCTTTAGCTGTGTAAGTGGGCAGCCTTGCTAATGCGCCCTACCCCATATTCCCCGCGTCCCAGGCAGAGGAGACCGAGGCCCACGAGGAGCTGGCCCTGGCCCTGTCCCGCGGCCTCCAGCTGGACCCCCAGCGCTCCAGCCGGGACTCCCTGCAGGGCTCCAGTGGCTACAGCACCCAGAGCACCACGCCCTGCTGCTCCGAGGACACCATCCCCTCCCAGGGTAAGCGGTCCCACTCAGTCACCCACACAGAGCGCAACTCAAACCATGCATTCATGTGTGCCACAAACAGTCACTGCAATGTGGGCCACAAACAGTCACTGCAATGTGGGCCACAAACAGTCACTGCAATGTGGGCCACAAACAGTCACTGCAATGTGGGCCACAAACAGTCACTGCACTAAAAATTAAACATGTTTCTTATTAATGAGAAGCTGAAGCAGCGGGTTCTGCTAACCAGCTAGCTAGTTACAATCTTACAGACATACAATCAGAACACCATTAACAAGGAAAGGGCGTTAACCCCTTTCTGATTATTTTAAATACTTAGTAATGGTAGAACTTTATGAGCATAGTTGACCTGTTTTGATGTGGGTCTTAAGTGAAAGATATGAGTTTGTGTGGAGTGAGAAAAATCTACCCTGTGAAACCACCATCCAAGGTCACATGACTGCAGCCATGTGACCTGATGCCCATGGTAATGTCCCCAAACAAGCCTGTCTGTCTTTCTTCCAGTGTCTGACTACGATTACTTCTCCGTGGGCAGCGAGCAGGAGGTGGACCAGCCGGACTTTGACAAGTCCTCCACCATCCCACGCAACAGCGACATCAGCCAGTCCTACCGCAAGCTGTTCCAGGCCAAGCGACCGGCCTCCACCGCTGGGCTGCCCTCCACGGGGGGCCCCGTCATCGTCACCCCGGGTGTGGCCACCATCCGGCGCACGCCCTCCACCAAGCCGTCGGTGAGGCGGGCGCCCAGTGCTGGGGGCCCCATCCCCATTAAGACACCGGTCATTCCGGTAAAAACACCCACGGTGCCTGACCTTCCAAGTCCCGGCTTTTCCAGCCTGGGCGGGGGATCTGAGGAAGGGGAGGAAGCAGCCAGCCCCGGGTCACCGGAACCCGGAGGGGAGAGCGACCAGCTGGGGGTCCTGCCCTCGGCCTCCTGGAGCGGCCAGGCCTCCACCAACCCCCCGGGAGCCCTGCCCCAGCCCACCACCCCCCCAGGAGATGCAGGGACACCAGAGGATCCAGATGAGCAGTTGGAGGAGGCGGACTCTTTTGACGTTCAGGGAGATGACATGCTTCTGGCTATCCGCCGGGGTGTCAGGCTGAAGAGGACAACAACCAATGACCGCTCTGCGCCGCGCATCGCGTAGGGGGCACCAGCGAGCCAGACTCCAGAATTCCACAGTATTCACAGGCCATCCTGAGGCATCGTCCATTCCAGTGTGGTTTGGAGGAGGCAAAGTAATTATTACGGTCATGATAATAATAATAATTATTATATAAAGTTCAACTTTTGATTTTCGCTTTGAAGGTAGGGAGAGGAACAATTTATCCTTTTAAGAGGCTGACGTCACTTCTGTTCGTTTTCATCAGCTGTAGAAAGCAAGTGTCTGATCATTCTGTCGCCTCAATGCCTCTGTATCCCAGTTCAAGGTTCCCACATTTTCCACACAGGATGTTCTTTGTGAACCTCAATTCTTAAGGCCGGTTCGGCGCAGAGAATGTAGCCTACGAATGTTTTTCTTTTTATTTGCTTTTTATTTTTAAGTTTTATTTCTACATTCTCCAGAAGGCCACTTCAGATAGACCATGTACTCAGTAGCGGTGGCATAATTCTCAGAGCACATGCCAGTTAATGGCGAGCAGGTGCATTGCGGGTAATTCACCAAATACTACCGACTCCCGTGATACAGATATACGGTTATAAACTCAGATATTTAAAAAAAATATATAAAAAATATAGCCAGCTCTTGAGAAAAATCCAAATGTATACGCTTTATAAATATGTTAAAATGCTTTAGAAGAGGCTGCTTTGCTTTTATTGTTTTTCATTTGTAGTTTTTTTCTATTTTAATTGAGTCTGACATGCATGCAGCCTGACCACTCTAACTGGTTTGCTCTTGTAAAGAAGTTGTAAAATTCATGATACACACAAGCTTCTCTTCACAAAAACATGCACTATTGTTGTCATTATCTCTAATGCTGTCCTGAACTGGATACTCGGCAGTGGCAACAAAGCCTAGCAACACTGTAAATACTTAACAGTCGAAATTTTTGGGATTAATTTATTCTCTTTGGTTTAAACCTTAATCCTTACAGCTGAATTAATGCTTTCTCATATGTTCTGTTTATGTTATATTAATATATATAAACCTGTTGGAGTCTTGAGGCCTTTTGCTGTGAAATTAACACAGCACAGTTAAGTTCTGCGGCCAGCTGCTTGTTTTTTTGTTTATCTGTGTACAGCTACGCACCTCCCTGTACGGGTCATTTCTGACTCTTTCTCTTAATGCCCTCTAGAGGGCAACAGAGTTCAGTGCCCAGGTGAGCATTTAATTATGCAAGCCATTAAATGGAGCGTATTTCACCGAAGCTGTAAATTTTTTATTTTTTTTATCATTATTATTATTCTGTTATCGGCCTCTTGTTCGGAGTTCTGTATGACCGGAGTGTGTGTAGACCCACAAACTCTACATACCTTGCATGTCACACGCTGTCTGCACACATGACCCAGTCATGGTTACTCCCAGAAGCACACCTACAGTATTGTATCGTGGCAGCACAGAACGTTGTAGCTAGTTCCTGTAGTTAGCCGTTTACACACTCGTACGTAGCTTTCCCTAATGTCCGCCGTCGTACCCGCTACCGACCAGTGGAGTCAGTTGTCATAGAGCCACCACTAACCCCCAATGTAGAGAGTTGTTAGACGTTTAATCCTAGCAGAGGGAGTGTGGGCTGCCTTGCAGTCTTTCCTGCAGGGTGTGGGATTCTTGATTTTGTACATGCGTTTATTATTATTATTATTATTATTCTGTTTTTATAATTTTGCATGCTTTCCATTGAGTCATAGCATCCCGCCGTGTTTTCCCAGAACTCTGATTTGGGGGGGTATTTGGACAGAAAAGGGCCAGACAGTCCCAGTGGTCCTTCACATGCACCCCAGCCACCCGGGTACGAAGCAGCGATCCGCTACGACGGTGCCGAAATGAACTGTTCTTTGTACCTCGAACAAGCGGATCACGCGCGATTATAAAGGATGAACTAGCAGTAATTACCTTACCATCATTAATTTAAGCATTTCAAACACCCATTACCTCTAGCTTTAATGCTCATCTTTTACCGATTACTTTTTGTACATTTTTTTTTTGGATTTGCAAATTGAAGATCTACAAGTTTCCACACCATTGCTACTTGTGGTGATACTTGGAGAGTAGGAGCTCAGCCTATCTATTCAATGTGAATATAATATAAAAGCTGTATAGTCTATATTACATAGGTAACTTCAAATGCTCAGCCGCCTGTAGGTTTTCCTTCTCAGTTGCAGGCCTGAGATGTTGTAGCGGGCAAAGGCCCCGTTTTAAGAATGCTTTAAAAATGTGGAATCTGCAGCTGATGCAATGTGCAAATGATGCTAAAACCGTATTGGTGGTTCCCCCTCATTACCGAAGTTTTGATATTGTCTGTGAATCAGCTGTTTAGATATTTAACATCAGAGCATATCTAGAGGTTTTTTTTCTTCTTCTTAAAGTTGCCAAATTTTCTGTAAGAATGTGTAAAACCAATTTAAGTACTTTAAAAGAAAATGTGTTTTTGCATATTGTAAAAGCAGACTGTCAGATGAATACTAGATTTTGTTCCTAATAATTTAGTTGCTAGTTTGTACTCAGTTGACCTCTTTCCCTGTACAGTTGTTCAAACAGGCTGTAAATCCCCCAATTTCCTTTTTTTGTGTAACTGCTTCAGCCCTGTATTAAAGATTATGCAAATCCATTTTTTTTCCAGCCTGTCACTTTTGATCCTAGTGGAAAACATCTTTCACTCAGAGTTCTGTCTTCCACAACCTTCCCTACCATGAGTGAAGGATAGATCAGGTAATTGTTCGTTAAACATCACACATTAAAGGTATTCGTGACAGGTGAGGAACACACGAGCTGCTCGCAGGATGGCATCATAACGGTACTTTAATGTGTTTAGGGGGTCAGTTCCTGAAACTGAATACCCATGTTCTATGTACATCCAGGCATGTTCAACTTCCCCTTTGTAGTGGGGGCGCTCAGACTGGCCGCTCCCTGGGCCTAGTGACGTACTGCCACCACAGAGGGGGGAGATCGCCCTCCCTGCGGGCCGGGGGCAGGGCCTCAGTCTTGGGGCCCCCCGCAGGAGTCTCTTCCTGCAGTTGTTGCACCTGCGAAGTGCAACCGAACAAAGTGACCATTCTCGATCGCTGATTTACTATAAAACTTATACTTTTGAATTCACGAAAAATGAAACGGATTCGCACTGACCTCCCGATCCCAGCTCTTCTCCCGGAGCATTTTCCACTGCTCCCGCTTGGAGAAGTAATCCGGGTACACGGCCTTCTCCGAGGGATGCCAGTAATCCAGACACCATTCGGGGACCTGAGTACAGAAACACCGGCGTTGGGCACTGGTGGCCAAACCACCCCTTTAAACGCCCAATGATCGGCTCAGAGAGGGAGGGTCCCCTACCTTGTAACACTCGTATCGCTCGTAGGAGGTGCCCCCAGGGGAGTCTGGGAAGAGGTAGGGCTGAGGGTGTTGATTTGCCCAGAACTCCTCCTCTCCAGCTTTCAGCATCAGCGTGGCTTTCACCATGTCCTTCTCATTCTTGTTCTCGTCGAAGCGGGATCGCAGCACACAGGCATAGAAGCGGTACTTATCCCTGTCGACCCAAAGGCGTTCATTGTGCGACATAACACTAATGGTGTGACCATCTGAATCGTAGATTCTGACAGAAATAGACTGCAATAAAATTACACCAGGGGCAGGGGGGGAAAACAACAACAGCAGACGGTGTATGCTGTATTGAAGCAGGCTGTTCACCATGGACTCTTTATAGTAATTTTTCTATAGCGAAGGAGCAGCAATAAAAAGCCTAATAAAGCAAAAATCCTCTATTCGACACTGTGACCCCTATCTTCACATCATAGTCCAGGGTAATATATCTAATGACCAAGAACGAACTGCTCCACAGGAAGTCTTGCAAAACTAAGATGATAATACAATACCCCTCATGCACTAGATCATTAGGTACTATACTATCCTAGAGGCACACGCTCCAAAGTGTCAATCACATCAAGCCCAAGACACCTGGTCACTACATGCAGGCATATATTTAAAAGGTAGCAATGACTCGTGCTGTCCTCATGGTGGCACTGGAAGGCTAATCACTGGGTCTCCATAATGTACGTGTACTCGTGTATCGAAATTCTCTAGTTTAAGTCAATAATACGCCGTGAAACATTCATTACTATTCTTTGGTGTTTATAGTATCTATAGACACACGGCTAATCAGAAGATCAATTAATTTAATCTAGAAAAACCACGGCATAAGAGGCTACAGACAGCGAAGCAAACCTCTAACATTAACCAGAACAGCCAGAAATAACCGCCTTATAACTACTAATCAACAAGCGTGATGGCACTGCTGCACAAAACGCTTGATACACGCTGTGTTCCGTATAGACCTTTACACCGAAGTAACCCGCTGACACTGACGTCTCCTGACCTGCGCTAGCTAACGGGTTCGGGCCTTCACTGCATAAAACGTAAAATAAAGCGGTAGGTCCCCACACCACCAAGCATCTCCGTTAATATGCTGCCCTTACCTGAATATGCACCAGGACTCAAGGTGCCGCAGAGCCTTCTTGTAAAGCCTGAGCACTTTCTGCTGATGAGTGAGATACGCAGAGGCCATTTCGTCCGGCAGGCCCCCCGACCGGGATCACCTTCTCTCCCATACGCATGCGCCCTTCTACGTCTCTCGCTCACGCATGCGTCCTTCTACGTCTCTCGCTCACGCATGCGCCCTTCTTCTCCTTGACGCGCTCCCAGCCCTCGGGAGCTCTGCTTCCCCCTACGGGGCAGGTGAGGAAGAAACGTTCAGTTGTGTTATCTATACTGTGTTATGAAATTTCTTAACCAAATTCTCCTTTTGTCCCTGCTGCTAGGGATGATGTCCTCTGTGACCATACGTCCTCCTTTTCCCGGATTTTTCTGGGACCTAAGATGCCTGAAATCTCCTTGATTTCGCTTTGTTTCATGTTGACGTTTGCTTTCTACAGTCAGAATATTTCCTCTGTGCATATTTGTGTTCTTTGACTCGTCTCTTTGCGTGCCGCCCCCGGGGTCGTCTTTTCGTGCAGCGAAATATGGTCACTTAACCTCGCCTCCCTTAAATATACTCAGACCCATTTGTAAACGATGCTGTGACCCATCATCTGTGACCCAAACCCCACTGGCCCCAGCACCATCTATGGTAACTGGCGTGGCAAAGTCTGCTATTTTTCATAATCTTTATGATATCTGTCATTTATAATATTTTTATATGTATTATGTTTCTCACTGTTTGCAGTCAATGTCATTGTAGTCTGCTGTAATTGAAGTAAGCCAGGGAAAGGTAATTTTTTGACATTATTTAAAACAGTAAAATTGCGTTTTTATTTATTTTTTGGCTCTGCATGGCTTGTCTGTATAGAGCATCAACAATAGCGTATATTCGGTATAGGCTGCCAGTGTTGTGCTCTGTTGCAACCCGTGACAAAAATAATAATAAAAAATAATGCGGTATCATAAAACTGCCCTGAGGTACAGACGTGCAGCTATATATAGAAATACTAAGCTTCTGCTACTTTGTATTTAGCAATTTCTATATGATCTTTTCATAGAAATTGGTAGTATTTAGTATTTATTATGATAATTGCATATATATGCAATATTTTACACATACATTTCTGAAATAAGCATAACAGTAATACACAAAGAACATATATACTTTGAAATAAAAAACGGTACATAATCCTATTTTATTTAGAGTTGCTTGAAAAGAAGTATTATATGTTTTTTATGATTCAGATTATGTATTTATGTGGTAAATACGTAGTGCGCACACACCTATTTAATTGCATGTTAACCATGTCAGTATCTACCAAAGAGCAGCGAGCGTCACTGAAACTGAGGAGCACGTCACTTTATGTCCTGTAGTAAAGCGTATTGCGTCATGCTGCAAAGCACTTTACGTCCCTTTGAACCGCTCGAGCCGGATAGTTACTTCCGCGTTCCTTGCATAGCAACGCCGCGGAGAAGATGGCTGAGTGTTGGGCCCCCTGCAGTATAACTTTACGAGTTTTTTAGGCATGTGTTGATCTCCGCGTGTCCTTCCTCCCCTCCCCAGTAACCCATGGCGTCCCCGCCAGCTCGGATCGGCCAGCAGGCCTTAGCTGTAGTGGACGTGATATTCCGGGTTCCCTGCATCTTTATCATCGACGCCATTTTTAACTCCTCTCACACCGAAGCTCATCTGGGAGGCGGATTGTGCGAGGCTGTCGGGAGGATTTTGATCAGAGTATTAGGTAAGGTCGCGCACGGCTTCTGCACTGCCCGGTCCTGTGTGGCCCGCAGCGTATACGGGCTGTCAGTTTGCTAGGTAAATCAGTGTGTGACAGTACCTGCCTATCTGTCTGTGTCACCTGTCAACTAGGATGTACCCATTCAAATCCATTGTCCTCCCATACACTGACACTTCCAGGGTGTGCTGCAATAATGGCATCACGATCGCTTAATTCGCCTGTCCCTAATGGTACATTTTACCCTTCGTTACGAAATTTCCTTCATCCTCTTAGTACCGGTAAAGCCTCTTATTCAGATGCCAGGCCGTTGCTTCAGCATCCAGATTCTTCACTTGTACATACAGTACTTCTATTGCCTTCCAATACTGATCTGAGTCTCGCATTGTCTTATAAAGCAATATAATACGCATGATGAATCCGCCCCACAAAGTCTTTCCTTTAAATCTTTCTCTATACACTAATCAATTACTAGTGCTAAATATTTTACACTTTCGGACGTATCTGTCTGCTTCTGTGATGGTGCCGCCATCCCAATTACCCCGTTAAAATAATTGTATTTTTAAATGCAGTTTTCCGATTAAAATTTATAATTGTAACTCTTTCATACATCGTTTTAAGATTCAGTTTACTGTCATCATGCAGAGTGCAAGTACAGTGCCAATTACATGCAGTTAACATTTGACCAAAACAGTCAGGTAATAGTGCACTTTCCAGTGGTATAAATGCCACTTATGTTCTATAGCAGGAGATTTAAACTTTTTATTTTTGAACCAGACTGACAAACTAAAAATAGACCAGACCTAGGAAAGTCAGGGCTGGTGTGCGGGTGGGTGGTCCCTCAGATCTTCACGGATGCGAGGCTGACACCCTATCAGTACCAAGGAAGTCAAGTTGTGTTTAAATCTTTACTGTCTCCTGATTAAAGGTGTGTTCTTATCTGTTTACTAATACTTTGCTTTTATAACATTCTCTATCAGGGATTTAATTTCAAAGTTAAATCTTAAATTCGATTTCATTTCTGTTTCCCAGCCTCACATTTTTTCTTCTTTGTTTCCCCAGCATTTAGTAAAGCGGGCCAGGAATTAAAGGCAAAGCTGATAAGCAATAATGGAATATGGGTGCATGGAATAATACCTTAGATGAATATAATTTCTCATTATTAATCAGAGGTCTTGCATTCATTTAGTTAGTTCAAGTGAACCCGAAACACCCTGCTCATGGAACATTAAAATAAAAGTATTTATAATACTGAAATAATTTGTAATAATTAATAATAGTTTTTCATTGCTTCATTGCTCTGTCTGGCTGGTTGGGCCGTGCAGCGTTTGTGACCCTTGTGTGTGACACTTGTAATCGGCCACCCTGTTTCCCATGCAGGTGTCCTGCTTTCCAGCATGGTCCTGGTTCTGTCACAGCGGGCACTCTTCCGGTTCTACGCCTTGTTCCTCGCCGTCCTCCTGGGAGCCATGGCCGTCTGGCTGAACTGCTACGTGGCTTGGCATGCAAACCCGTACGGCGGATATGATGCTTTCGGTCTGCATGTCTTCCCTGGCGACAGACCCACCCTTTGGCTCGGGATGGCCACGGTCCAGCTGGCACTGGGGGCCGGCTATGTGATGCTGCTCGGCCTGCGGCCGGCCTTGGCAGCCCTCGTGGTTTTGGCCGCGATGCTGCCCATCGGGACTTTGGCAGTCGGATTACCGCCGGAGGCGCGGCAGCTAGTGGCCGCGGCCTCGGGCCTGGTGCTGGCCGCCCACACACTTGCATATCTGACCCTGAAAGTCAAGTGGTTCTGCTTCTCCTGTCGCTATGTCTACCTGCTTATCCGGCACCTGCACCGGGTCTACGGTGTCCAGATGCTGCTGGAGGACACCTGGAAGAGGATCCGCTTTCCTGACGTGCTCCGGGTCTTCTGGCTCACCCGTATGACCGCGCAGGCCGTTATCCTGCTCTACGTGGTTGGGGCGACAGGGAACCGGGATGGCAGCCAGAGTTATCTCACTGGGGACGTCTTCTGGGACTTGTTCAGTAACCTCATCATCAGTGGCTGCGACTCCACGCTGACGGTGCTGGGTATGAGTGCAGTGATCTCCTCCATTGCGCATTACCTTGGCCTGGGGATTTTGGCATTCATCGGCTCCACGGAAGAGGAGGACAAGCGACTTGGCTTCGTTGCCCCGGTCCTATTCTTCATCTTGGCTTTGCAGACAGGGTTGAGCGGGCTAAATCCCGAGGAAAGACTGGTGCGGCTCAGCCGTAACCTGTGCCTTCTGCTGACCGCCATCTTGCATTTCATTCACGGGATGACCGACCCGGTCCTCATGTCCTTGAGTGCCTCTCACGTGTCGTCCTTCCGCAGGCACTTTCCCGTCCTGCTGGTGTCGCTCTTGCTCTTCGTCCTGCCTGTGGTGCTGAGCTATGCCCTCTGGCAGTTCTACGCCCTCAACACCTGGCTGTTCGCCGTCACGGCCTTCTGCGTGGAGCTTTGCCTCAAGGTTGTCGTGTCACTGACAGTCTACGTGCTCTTCATGGTTGATGGCTACTATGGTGTGCTCTGGGAGAAGCTGGACGACTACGTGTACTATGTGCGCTCTGCAGGAAACATTATCGAGTTCATCTTTGGGGTCGTCATGTTCGGGAATGGGGCCTACACCATGGTGTTTGAGTCCGGCAGCAAGATCCGCGCTTGCATGATGTGCCTCCATGCCTACTTCAACATTTACCTGCAGGCCAAGAACGGGTGGAAGACGTTTATGAACCGCCGGACCGCCGTCAAAAAGATCAACTCCCTGCCAGAGGTTAAGGGCAGCCAGCTGAGAAACATCGAGGACGTCTGTGCCATCTGCTACCAGGAGTTCAGCTCCTCGGCGCGCCTCACGCCTTGCCGGCACTACTTCCACACCCTCTGCCTGCGCAAGTGGCTATACATCCAGGAAACCTGTCCCATGTGCCACCAGAGGGTCTACATCGAGGAGGATGTCCAGGACAGCTTCGCCTTCTCCAACAATAATGGGTATGTCGCCCCCAACGAGGATGCGGTCGAGCCGGACGCTGCCGAGGGGGGGGATCCCGTTGCCACAGACCTCGAGGACGAATTTCTGAAGGACAACGACAGCATAGAGTATGATGAGGATGAGTGGGAAATGCAAAACAGGGGAATTCCCGTAGAGGAAGACTACGTCGATGATGAGACGGACTCCAGCGGGGAATGACCCAAACGTAATTTGACTTTCATTTATGGCAAAATCAGGGGCGTTCTTTTTTTCCCCCTTCAAGGGCTCACGCAGTAAAGGCGAAGGTTGTGGTACAGTGTTCCGAGCGATATTACCTAAAAAGAAAAGGGGAGGAATCCAAGCAGGCTGCCAGCTGTTACTTAATAGTTCGGTGTAAAATGACTGAATAATATATATTTTAAAGAAAA